GTGCCCCCTCAATTTCAATGTTTGAAGATTCAGTGTCTCAAGAAGCCGCATGGAAAGACCCGGTTTCGAGATCATTTTCCAGCTTCAATTTTCCCACGCAAGCCTGGACCCTCACAGTTCTACAAGTGTGGCTTGGAATGGTGTTCTCGAATGATGTCTGAGTTCTTTTATGATTCTTGTCAACTAGCTAGCTGTACGCAATGAAAGCTTCCAGGGTGATGTGCGCAGTGCAAACCTGTTGGAGATCATCTTGTCCACAAGCGGGGAAAATTGGACCTCCATTCTAGGTCACGAAAACGACCCCAAAAAGTGGACCTTCTTTGTTGTCTGTACAGAAGGGAATCGGTTTTGCGTGTCGTTTTTGGGGACCCAATTTGGGATCTGTTGGGCTTAATTCGGGTTCGGGCTTGCGCATGTTTCTTGATTTTTTGTCGATCAACGTTTTGTTTCTTGTTTGACAGACAGTGTTAACTTCCATTCTACCCCTCAAGATGGCACGCATAAAATTTGAAACAGCTCATTTTCACACACCCTCACATTTTTCCTTTTTTCTCATCTTTTTCCGTTTTCTTGTCGGGGACCTCTTGGCTTCCCCACTCTCTACATTCCCTCAATAGGTTCATAAGATTCTGAAGATCGGTGGCCCAGTCGATAGGCGCAGCTCAAACCATCACGGAAATGAGAAAGACACCTTTTACACGACCAGCCAAGCACATGGTTCGTCTTTACATGTTGTGCCTATAGGGCCTATAGCTCCTTGTGCAAAGTCTGCAAGACGTATCCTTCTGCTTTGCAAAGTTCTGCAAGACATGTTCTTATGTCTGCAAAGTCCTGCTTTACACCAGCACATGCCTGCACTGTAAGCCTGCATGAACGCCGATGATATGTCGAATTCCTTTGATGCTTCGTGGGAATCATGCTTCCACACTCCTCCTTACTCGAGGCCTTCGGCACTCGAGTATCCTCTCTTCTCCCACGATGTCATCACGCGTCCTTCCATGCGGCGATCCACTGCGAAATCGCTGTACGATTTTCCAAGCTGTCCCACTTCAGAATGCAACGGCCATTCAAGTTCCTCCTCCGCCATATCCAGAGAACATACTTGAGCTGCTTTGTCGTCGGCTGCACACTTTGTGGGCTTGGCTCATCCCACCCTAGCTCTCTGCCCAACCTCATCACAAGGTCAGCTTTCAAGCCACTAACAGGTAGACCCAAGCACCTCAGTCCCTCCTTCAAAGATTCCACCGTCATCAGAAGCAGGGTGTCCAGTTCGTTCCCGACCCAAGCTTGTCGGCGTAGTAGATCTCCTCGTCAAGGTAGGTGGCTCCACGGTCTCAGTCACATTGGACCTCTCAACCTCTCGCACTTCCTTTACATCAATGTGCTCACCACCAGAAGCTCCGTCGGTCCCGACATCTGGATCGCTTCCTTGCTTGCAGAGGTTTCTCCATCGGCCGGCTGCACAAGAGACACCAGCATCATGATAAGAGCCATCACCCTCATCTTTATTGCGTCTGCCATCCTTGCCAGCTTGCCACCAATGAAACCCCATAGTCCCAGAAGTTCCCATAATCGGTCCTTCGTCAGCATTTTTGTAGCCAAGTCTGCCAATTGCAGCGCTCCAGGTGTGTGTCGTACTTGAAGTCTTCCTTCGGCCACAGCTTCCCTTATGTAACTGGCCCTCACCTTCAAGTGTCTAGTTCTTTGGCTGCCTTGGCCACCAGAGCACATCGCCACAGCACTACTGTTGTCAATGGCTAGCACTCGGGCAAAGGACCTTGGTTTGATCTCCTCCAAGATGGCCGACACGGACTCCAGAAGGTTGTAGCCCTGAGCTGCGGCATACAGCTCGCATTCCATCGTCGACATCGTCACGAAAGACTGCCTACCAGCCTTCCACGAAATGGCAGCATGGTCAAAGACGATGACTGTTGCCCCAAAGCTCTTTCCCCCAAACGGTGCAAACGATGCGTCTGTGTGGCATACCATTTTTCAGGGCTCTCCTGGAGATGGAGGTCGCAGAACCAACTCCAAATCTGCCGTTCCAGCCAGATAACTGAGTGGCCTCTGCCCCATTTTTTCCACATGCACCGGTCTCTTCGCCACATTTGCCGCCATGTGATTCACCACAAACAGCACGTCTGGGCGTGTCTTCATCGCCAGCCACAAAGCCTCGCCGACAGCTTTCTGTCCTCGCTTCAGATCCTCGTCCGAAAACCACAGCACATCATCACCACCATCTTCTCCAACGTCCAACCATTCCTTTGGTACTGGCAGTTGTGTGTGCACTGTGCCTTGCATGTTGTGTGCATGCAGAAAGCGCTGCTGGCTTGGTCCCAACGAACTTCCACCCCCAAGTAGCGAACCGTCTTGTTCTTTCCGATCCACTCCAGCTCTGATGTGGCCCATAGAGCACGAATTGCCCGATGCAGCTCGAGTGTCACACACTCCTCGGCAAGGTACATGAGGTCATCGACATAGATGACAAGGATGCCGCAAAGCTCGTGGGTTTTCTCATCTCGTAGTAGCCACAGCTTCGACTCCGCCAATCTGTTTCAGGCCCAGCTTCCTGCCTTGGATCGTGATCTTGATGGTCCTGAACTTATAAAAGTTCAAAGGCTAAAATCAACCTTTCCTGAACCAAGGGTCCTCGGCAAACTTTTCCTCTCACTCGCGACTTCCACGAGGTGGGTGTCTTGAGCCTATACACAGCGGTGTGAAACAGGTTGGGTAGGAAAATGAATCTTTTGTTACGCCCTCATCGAGTTTCGTTGGTGAAACGAACCTCGATCCTATTCATTTCTCTACCACCTTTCTCTCATGCTCCTTCGAGCACGTTCCACACTTTTCTCGCATACCTCATTGGGCTGCTCACTTTTCGCACGCTCCATTGAGCTGTTCATCTTCGCATTTAGGTTCGTAGTGTGGATCATCTGGAGCTACTGCACACAGTTCTCGCATGTGGCTTTTGCATCGCTCCATCTCTCTTTTCCTTTAAACACACTTTAAACTTTAAACACATGCACTCGTTGTGAAACGTGTCGTTTTGCATGGTGACACTTTTGAGCATTGCAGCTCTCAAGCCTACGGGCTTTCATGGGCCATCGCCCTCAGGACCTTTTGGTCACATTCTTGACCTCTCACAAGTCTTCCATTTGGATATTGGCCGCTGGGGCCTTTGTCTCTTATCTTTCTTTTCCTTCTTCCCTTTGCTTTCCTTCTTTCCTTTCTTGGCATCCTTCGACGCTTGCTTCTTTTCAATGCTTTCCTTCGCTGTCTTGGCCATTGCCATCTTTGCCTTCCGTTCTTCTTCTTTCTCCGGAAAGCTCCACTTGATCCCATCCGGATCTTTCTTCTCAAGATCAATCATCTCATCTTGCTCCTTCGCGTTTTCCTTGTCATCATCCGTAACTTCTTCGATGTGTGGCCCTGCCCCCTTGGGCATAGCCTTCACGTTAGGCTCCAAACTCTCGGCCTTTCTCTTCATTTGCTCGGCTCCCCATTTGGGACTCGGCGGCTTCGGCGATGCAGCTTCTTTGGCCTTCAAAAGCTTCTCTTCTTCCTTTTCGCGTTCCTTCCATGAGCGGCATCGTTGATGCGTGTGATTCCCCCATCCTGTCATTGGTGTGGGGCTGTCTTTGCAAACCAAGAAACAGAAAAGTCCTGCATTCGCCTTCCTGCGGTCCTCCATGGATGGCACACTTCCACCCAGCTCCAACGCAAGCTTCGCCATTGCTTCGCAATACATGGCTTTATGGCTTTCTTCTCCGCAGAAAAAGCAACTCTTCTGCTTCCGGGGGTCCCATTTTGGGCTTTCCGCAACTTTCTGCCGCTTTTGCTCGGGCTCGTCCATTGACGGCTTCCTCAGTTCCGCTGGAACTTTCTTCGGCATTGGCTTTGCCTTCACGGGGTTCGTTTTTATGCCCTTCGGCTCATGTGCCATTGTCATTGGCTCAATCTCGCTCTCGCTTTCTTTCTTCCTTTTCATCAGCTCGTACAGCGAAAGTCTTTCTTTTGCGCATAGAGCCTTGCGAACTCCGGCCTTTCTTGGATCAGGAGGGCCATTACCTCTCCGGCCGATCTCATCATCACATTGATGCCTCTCACTACATCCCTTGACTTCTTGAACTTCGCCAATTCCTCCTTGGCTTCGTTAATGTTCTTCTCCGTCTCTTCCATTGCCTCTTTCAGGCTTTGCGCTTCCTTGAGGCTTTCCTCGATTTCGCTTTTCTTCTTTTGGTACTTGCGCCTTGCGCTTTCCGCTTCCTGCTCCAAGTCATCCATGTCACCATTGAAGATGTCTATACTTTCTCCCATGTCATGGAGCTCTTCATCTGTCTCCTTTTCCATTGCTTCACCACATTGCCATAATCATCTGGCAACTTTGCCGTGGGCCATTGCATCTTCTCCTTAAACTCATCAAAGATCGCCCTCACGCGATCATTCTTCAAGTGCGTGGTGTCCAACGCGGACTCTCCTTGGAGCATTTCCTTGTTCTCGTCCTCCAACATCGCTGATTCCTTTATCACTTTCCAGAGGCCCTCCTCTCCTAAGAGGAGGTATTTGGAGTCTTCGTAAAGAATCAACTCGTCCTTCTCTTCCTGGTCCCTTTGACCTTCTTCGCCCTTCGGCTCTTCGGGACCCTTCGGCTCCTTGGCCTTTGAAGGTTCTGGCTCTTCAGCCTCGTTGGACGAACTTGAGGAATACTCATCTTCAGTCTCGCTTTCCTCTTCTCCACTTTCCTCTTGCATCTCCTCTTCTTTAGGAGCATTCTTCTTTTCTTCTTCTTCTTCTTCTTCTTCTTCTTCTTCTTCTTCTTCTTCTTCTTCTTCTTCTTCTTCTTCAGGAGCATTCTTCTTTTCTTCTTCTTCTTCTTCTTCTTCTTCAGGAGCATTCTCCTTTTCTTCTTCTTCAGGAGCATTCTCCTGGAGCAAATTCTCCCTTCGGTTCATTGCTCCTTGCCTCATTTCTGCGAGCTCTTCAACTCGCTGTTCCATGACTTCGGAATGGGCCTCTTCAGCCATTCCTTCTCTTCTTCTTTTCCCTTCTACTTTCAAACGCTTGATCCGCAAAACGGCTGCGACGGGAATCAAGTAGCAACATACGCATCCTATTAACACAATCAAAGCTCTCATGCACACCGTTAATCCTTCGTCTTTTCCATTTTCTTCTTCTTCGCCGAACTTCTTCGCTTCACCTAAGGCTACAAGAACAGCCATGGTGACGGCTTGAATGATCTTTGTCAATTTTCCTTCGCTTACCCGCCGGCCATTGCCGGTTCGGCCATTGCCGTTCATTCTTCATTGCCTGCAACTTCTTCTTGATCCACAAACTCTCCTACATATCCAAGGCTTGCCATGTACTTCCTGATCTTGTCTTTGCTCAAGCTCTTTGTCCCCAGATCAGCTGGGTTGTCCTTCCCTTTGATCGCTTTGATTATCAACCTCGGAATACTCTGGATCCATAACAGATCAACGTCGAGATGACGGGCTTTCCCCAATCCTTTTCTCGCGATCAACTGCCTTGAACTGCTTGAGTCTGAGTACATTACCATCTTCGGCTCCTTGCCAAGAATTCTTGTCAACAACGCCTTCAAAAACACTCCTTCGGAAAGTATCGACGTCGCGGCTATCGTTTCTGCTTCGCATGAGCTTAGCGCTATGCTTTTCTGCCGCTTGCTCTGAAAACGGATCAGATTTCCATTCAGCATTATTGCTCCACACGACACACTCTGCCTTGACTCTCTGTCGGCTGCCCAATCCGAATCCGTCACTATCTCCAACAGTAACTCTTGCTCGTAGACATTTCTTTCTACTTCTTCTTCTTTCCTTTCATTTCTCTCTTCGATGAAACTTCTTCCTGGATAACTCTTCTTGTGTATCAGCGACACATCGGGTGTACCTTTCAGATACTTCGCAGCATGCCTTAGCAGTTCCATGTCTGCTTCAACAGGCGACGCTAGCTTCGTCGAAAGTCTCTTCAGCACATACATTAGATCGGGCCTCTCTGGTGCTAAGTACAACAGTACACCTACACCTTTCCTGTACGTGTGGTGATCTTCTTCAGACAATGGGTCCATTCCTCCTTTCTTCGCTTGCATTGCTCTTCCGTTGTCTGCCGGGCATGGCAACTTCTTCGGATACGCCTGTTCCAACTCCAACGCTTCGATCAATCCTTCGATATACTTCGAGTTCATTGTTATCTCAACGTCTCCCTCGTTCACGGCGCTGAAACCTCTCTTCAGAAAGCTCATTGAACCTTCGTGTACACTCAATGGTCCTTCGACCTTGATCTTCAACTTCTTCTTCCTCAAAAACTCGATCAATTCCTGAAACTCTTCCTTCGTTGCGTATCCGTACTCTTCGAGGTATCCTTTCAACTTGTTGAACCACGCGCTTGATCCTATCCGCTGTCCTGGCAACGTGAATCCGAGTTCGTAGTACTTTCCATCGACCTCGACGACCGTTGGTTCTTCTTGCTCTACCATTAAGTAGGCGTCTCCGACATCGATGCTTCCAAGTATGCGGTCGTTCGACGACACGAACATTGCTGAGAGCAACTTCACTGTGCTCGCCACTCCCGTTGGAGAGAAGAGACTTGCGATGTCCGTTGAACCTAACCACTTGAACTCTCGGGCCACAAGCCGGCCTCGCCGTTGCCATTCATTGTCACGATGCCTCCAATCGTAGACAACTTTGGTTGAAAGGAACTTATACCTGTCCACATTCGTGCCTTCGGGCAACTCATTCAGGACTTTCATTCCTGTTAGTCGGCTTATCTCGTGCTCTCTCGACACAACATCAACTTTTGCCAACTCGCTTTCATCTAACTTCGGAGGTCCATCTTCGAACTTGTTTCGGGCTATACTGTGGAGTCTCTAACCCGACTGCTGGAGTTCTCGGGACTTGTACTGGCGGTCCTTCAATTGGCGCCACTTCGATTCCACTCGATGGCGGTAGCCTCTTCGGCTGCTTCGACCGTCCTGTCAACTGCTCTTGGCTTTTGTTCCACGGCGTCCCACATGCATTCTCCACTTCGAACGTTGGCGAACATTGTCTCATTGTTCGACTCTTGATGGTTCCGCTTCTGGCGCTCACCAGATTCATGTTCGAAACCATGTCCTTTCCAACGAAGATTCCCTTCTTCCACGGTTCACCTTTCTCCTTTGTCTTCGGCAGTGGTTTTGCCACAACCACACTGCCCCATGGAACTAGAGTTCCTTTGTACTCACGGTCAAATACCAGCCCGAACGGGGTCTTACCCTGTTGTACAACAAACCTATTCAGCAGGAATGCTGCGTGTCTTGGTGCCCATGGATAAAGCGTACTCTCGCTTGTGATCTTTACCTTCGCTTCTTTTTCAACTCCATACACCAAAAGTCTTCGATAGGTTCCTCACTGTTTGTACCCATCTTTCAACTTGTGCTCCTTGGTGTGTGTCTGGTGCCACATCTTGAATCTCCGTCTCGAGCTTCTGCATTTTCCTTATCGCCTGCACTTTCTTTCTCAACGAAATCATCGCTGGCTCGGTATCCGTTCTCAGGATCACTTTCGGCTGCATTAGCATCAGTACTCTGCAGACTTCTTCTACCAGATAGCTTGTCACTTCCTTGCCCTGGATGGGAATTGCGTGGACAAACTTTGTCTCTTGGTCCACCATGATCAGGCTTATGCATAATGCATCTTTCACATCTTTTGCATCTTCTTCATTCCTTGTTCCTGTGAACTTGAAATCCATGCTTACCAACGATGCTTCATACTTCTTCTCTGTCGTCTTGAAGTCATCTTCCCTACTTCTCGTTGCCGAACAACTCTCACACCAGTCCGCCTTCGGTAGGTGTGTCAGCTCGTGTTTCCTTCTTTCTTCCACGCTCGGCACTTCCGGTCTCTTTTCTCCATCTGGCTCTCTTGAGACCAAATCGCCCTCTCCCGGGAGTGTTAGCACAACCCCTTGGCCGCAGGTAATAGTGGTGGCCTGGCTACTAGGCACCTCTACCGATCGTCTGATTCACGCCCTGGATGGGCTTCGGAAATCGCAAGACGAAGCCTTTCTTGCCAGAGCATGCGGTGAACTGACCGTTGAAGTTTGCCCGGGGTGTATGGCAAAGAACTTTTTCATTCTTTGACGCGCCTCCTGAACAAACAGCTTCACGAGCATGTAAGACCTTTGCAGAGGGCCGCTACTGAGGTCCAACGTTCCATTTCACATGCACCCATCGATCAAAAGACAAAAAGGCAATTTGCTGGGCGCTGCATGTCACATAGGCTGTACGCGAGCGAACTGCCCCATGCGCACAAGCCCCTGCCTGCAATAAGCAAGCTGGACTACACTGTGCAAATGCAGGTGCTCCGACGGGGGGGTCTCAAGGGCAGCGCCAAAGTATTATGCTGCCAACCGTACTCTGTCCGAGCAGCTGACACCCATTCCGAATGTTCTCAAGAGAAGCACAAGCAATCCGCGGCTCGGCGCCGCGATATGGCAGAATCCTAAACTCGCTGTAACCCTGAACCCCGAAGTAGAAGGAAGCTGAAAGCACAATGGCCTCTAAACGCAAGACCCAAAAGTGAACCACGTGTGTTGGAACTAGGTCGGCCCAGCTCCGCTACCATGAAAAACCAAGCGGACTTTTCCACTACTCTTAGAGCCTGGTGGTTCAGTGGAGTTCTGCAATTTACTACATGTTCTCATGAAATTTGCCTTATGCCAAAATCAAGTGAAAACATCTTTTCCTACACATGAGGTGTGTACAAAGTGCAGGGATGTTAGGTTTCCTCACAAAACCTCTGGAGAATTTGTTGATAGACTGCATTCCGGGCGCAGACACAGGCGGGTCGTCGACCAGGGAAGCGCGCTTGTAGGCCGAATGCCACGTTCAGTCGGGGCCTTGCCCCAACTCCCCTGCTTGGCTTCAAGAGCGGTGACCCATGTAATCCTCCGGAAGAGCCCAGCCGGCTTTGTCCTTGGAAGTGTGGGCATTCGCACATCGCTGTTTAAGGGATTTGCATTTGAAGGACGTTTTTTGTGATTTTGCAGTGGACGACGTTTGTGACGTGGCTGTTCCTGAAGAGACAGTCCGGAGCGTAGTTTTTCCTGAGCAAGAGTACGATCTGTTTGACAAGGATCTTGAAGCTTTTCAGTTGTCATTCAGCTCCAATCAGCCCTCCGAATCTTCAGGAGGTTGCAGGCTGCGTCCAAGCAGGCAATTGATTTGCTTGTCCCGAGTTCAGCCGTCATCCAGCTTTAATCGGTCTTTGAAGAGTGGCAAGGCCGCCATTGAGATTGATTGATTGCGTTGCTTAGCTGTTCGAACAATGGCGCACGCACCTGGAACAGGACTTGATGACGAGACAGATAAGGAGTTGACTGGGCCAAGTGTCCCAGCGGCTCCCTCGAACCCTTTTGCCGCCGGCAGTTCCTTGAGTGCAGGCGGAGCACTGACCATGAGTGCCACCGATCTTTAGATCCTGATGCAACGTATGGCTGAAGCCACACAGGCTGCAAGTGCAGCTGCCCAGGCAGCAGCCTACTTTTCTACCGCCAGCAGTTCTAAGCCCTTGGGTTTAAGTGACCTTACTAAAGTGTTGCCCAAGCCAGAACCCTTTCGTTCCTCACTCGTGACGAGAAGTTTGCTCAGTGGCCTTAGTGGAGCTGGGCGTTCAAGCAATACCTTTCATGTTTGGATCCCAGCTTCGACAAAGAGCTACATAAGTATGCACGCCAGTCCACGCCTGTTCTTCTTGAGTCTTTAAGTGAGCAAGCGAAGACCCGTTTGAGGATTGTGTATGGCATGCTGAATGGCCTCCTCTATGAAAGGGGTTGTCGCTTGTTGCGCTCTGTGCCATCCCAGAATGGCTTCTGATGCCCAAGACCAGGAATCGTGCGCTTGCCCTTCTTCGGACCATCAACAGCTGGCCAAGCTTTGATGCCAAGCAGGGCCTTGCTCAGCAACTTCTGCGTCTTGAAGCAGCCTTTGAAGAGTATGCGCAGCTTGAAAGAGGTGGACTGCCTGAAAACAACAAATTGGCCACTCTCCTCAGCTGCTGCTTGACAGGCCAACTTCGCCAGCCAACGCGGTCATCTCTGACGACAGCACCTACCGTGACCTGCGTGAGCTGGTGCTCAGGTGGGATGGTGCTCAGACAAAGTGGCAATCCAGTGTTGCCAGCAGCTATGGGCTGCAGGAAGGCAAGAAAGGCCTTCATGATTCCGGCGATGTTGTGCCAATGGATGTCGATCGCGTTGCCAAAGGCGGTAGAGGCAAGTATAAGGGTGGTAAGGGTAAAGGAGATAAGGGTGGTAAGGGCAAAGGAAAGGGAGGACGATGAGCGACTTTGGTTTCCCGACAATGGAAGGGAGCCTGAGCTTGACAACGCCATTTTGGCTGAGCTCGATGATTTGGCCGACAGTGTGGAGGTGGCTCGGCTTATCAAGAAGTCTGTCTTGAGGGCAGCCACTCCAAATGAAGACGTGAGCTTGATGAAGGGCCTGACGACGAAGTTTGTTCGAACATGGAGATTCAAGAAACGAAAGGGGGTCGGTATGTGGTACCGTCGCTCCCGCCTTTGCGCCCGGGAGTTTCGGTGGCTCGTCGCCGCTGCGGCTTTGTCCTTCGAAGGTGCCCAGCAGTCGCGTGCCCAGTGTCCAGTCTTCCCGCAGTTCCGGCAGACATCTGTCTTCTTCGCCTCTCTGCTCTTGCTCCGAGCTCTGTCTCCTTTTCCGCCTTGGTCACCTTTCCTGTCCTTTCCTTTCGCTTTGCCACCCTTCTGTCCCTTTTCTCCTTTCTCGCCTTTGTTGCCCTTGTTGCCCTTGGAGCCTTTATTGCTCTTGTCTCTGTCGCCCTTTCCGCCCTTGCCACCCTTGAAGGCATTCGCATACCCGGATGCTCCTTCTCTCTGGAAGTCCATCACACGAAGCTGCTCGTCGTAAAACTGCAAACCAGTCATCAGCTCACCCATGCTCTTCGTTGAGTGATGGAGGAGCAGGTATCTCTTGGTCTCAGAATCCAAGTGCTTCATCAGGCACAAGACTCCCTCTTGTTCTCCGATGAGCAACTCCGGGAAGCGATGCTTCACCTGCGCCTCGAACTTGAGAAGTTCGGTGGTGTACCACCTAGCGACATCAAGTGGCCGCTTGAGGTGCTTTGGCGGCACCAGGCCTAATGCCTGCTCGCGAAGGGCTTGTCCTTCTACTCTGGAGCGAACGGACAACTCGTTGTTCAGCGAGCGCCAGAGTTCGTATCCGGCACTTGCTCCCATCTGCTTCACCTCGATGAGATGCACCAAATCCTGCCCACGCTGGAACTTGCTCATGGACTGACGAAGCAAAAACAAAAGTTTGGTTGACCGAGCTGCCTTCCCGGCTTCAAGCTTCACCTGCAAAACTTCCACATTGCTACTAATCGCCTCCTGCAACTCCGTAGCGTACCGGTCGTCAAGCAAACAAAGCCAGCTTGTAAGTTCGTCTCTGTAAGCTGTCCAAACTCGGATTTCAGCATGTCTACTCGTCATGGACGCATAGTTCAGCTGAGGCAACTGTGGAATGTAGCCCTCTGCTCTCTTGTTTCGTACACCAGAGTCTACTTCCATATCCACAGGGGTCGATGCATTCGCAGATGCTGCTGAGGGTTCTCCTCCAGGTGTAGGACTCGTCGACGATGAAGTTGTAGCTGCTGCAATATGTGCATTGGCAGCATTCGCACTTGCAAGCTGCAATGCCTGCGTTAGCATGGCACTCATCTGTTGAAGTTGAGCTGCCTGCTGTCGGATCTGCTCGTCCTGTGCTTGCAGCATTGCTCTTGTGAACTCCATCTGTTGAGCTTTTGCAACTGCATATTCGGAACTTGAAGGGGTTCTTGTGGTGCTGTCTGAGGGGGTGTCCCATCTGGTAGAATTGAAGTCCAAACGAAGGCACAGCCCCAACTGGTGGCTGATGGCCTGCTCCAGTCGTAGCTGTCCACTGCCTTGGGTCTACTCCGCGTGGAACTGAAGGTGGTCGTGCTGGCAAAGACCTTCCACGTCCTCTTCCCACGGGCACTTGGTGACCTTGCACCGAAAGCCCTGCGGAACTCAAGTCCGCTTGGATTGAGCCAATGCAAGCACGGCTCTCCAGCTTTAAACACTGTCTGCCAGACATGGAAAAACAAAGGTACAACAGGTAAATACACTTAGCCATGGAACTTCTACTTCTAAACACTGTGGGCAGGTTTCTAGCACCTTGGTCAAGTTTTAAGAAAAGAACAGAAAACGGTTCTTTCTACTTAAAAACAAGGTCTTACCAAGCCAAAAGAAATCTGCACTGCCTCACATGTCCTTGTGCATATGCTTCACACTTATAGCAGACAACTTAAGTGCACATCACGTGTTAACTGGGAAACTAGGGTTACATATATCAACTTCAAACACCAGCCCTCTATTTTGACTGTCCTTAGGCTTACTGTGGGGTTCTTAAAGTGAGCAGGTTGCGCTCTTGGTCTGTGCTAAAGGTGCGGAACTAAGACACAATAATGCCAACATTGTGAGCAGCGAACGGGGCAAGCGTTGCGTTAACGCAGCAACTTGTAGTTCTTGCTAAGCTTCTTGGCCGAAAAGAGCGCGCAGCCCTTCTAGCTAAAACCGCGCTGGAAGTTCCTTATCGTACAAGTCCCTGCTTGCAATAAGCCTTACAAACTGGGCCCAGCAAGAGTTCTTATCAAAAAGCGTCCACCGCTTCAGACTGACAAACCAGCCTTTGCCCACACCGTTCACCTTTCCACAAGGTCTCGGTTGCGGTCTTCTGCACGGAGAAGAAACTCCCTATCGGGGTCCCCAGCCGCCTCTAGTCTAGGAGGGCTCTTAGCAGTCGGAGGTACAGGGGCTGTCCCTCCGCCACCGTCAGTAGCTTCTCGTCTCGGATGCCCTGTCGCTCCAGCCAGGTACGCCACAGCTGCCTCAACTCCTCGTGTAGCGTCTCATCCCTGGCTAGCTTGCATCCCTTCTCACCTCCCGCCGCCATGCGGAAGGCCTCCTTTTCTAGCTCCTTCTCGGAGCCTATTCGTCCCAGCACGAGCTTCCTCATTTCCCCTCGTAGCCAAGTCCAGCAAGCATCTTCCGCCACCTGTCTCCTCTCTGGCGGCCACCTGCCAGGAGAACATAGCCCCCCTCCATCATAGAAGGACCTTGTCCCCCCCGGCTGGTAGCAGGTCCTCGGATCTCCCACAGCCGAGATCCTTCTTGGCCGTCACCTGCGGCCTCCAAACGGAGTCGTAGGCGAAGTCGTAGCCGAACAGGTGCTCACCAAGATCTCTGCCAGCCAGCGACATACACTGCTCTGTGCCTGTGGTCTTGAATCCCGGAGGTAGCGGTGCTCCGACGGCGCTGGAAGCGGCCCTTCGTAGCTCCCGTCATCTGCGAATGTCGGCCTACCCTCAAAAACAAAACTTGGTAGCGGGCCGTTATACTTCAACAAAAGACGGGTGGGCTTAGGGAAGGGAACGCCAAAACTAGCCTGGTGCAAAGCCACGGTGCGCAGCCCCTTCTCCAGGGCGTGGTGTAGCTGCGGCCATTGCCACATAGATGCCGGTCTGTGAAAAGCAGAGCTCGCGCAGCTGTCTCTTTTTCACTTCGCACTTGAGCCAAACACCAAAGTGTTCAGCAAGCTTCAGTTCTTGCAGCAAGCTCTCTCCAAGAGCTAAGGGCTCCAAAAAGCTACGAATTCCATCTCAACTTTGTTCTACAAAGGAGGTAAAGCAAAAGAACAATGCAACTGCTTTGGTCTACACCTCGGGGACTTCAGGTCACTTCCGAACAGCAAAACAGCGAAGCTTCAGAGTCCACTCTGCACTCCTACTCCCATCCTACACGTCCAACGGCAACGAACGAAGTGGCGGGGACACGGAGTGAGTTGCAACAAGACAGAACCTCAGAGTTCTGACACGCACTTCTTCACTACTGCTCTCAAGCAGTTCCAAGTGCTTCAAAACTCATCCTAGGCCATGCCAACAAGACAAGAACATGCCAAAGTCAAGCAAGACATGCCACACATGCTTAAGGGCTTTGGGACAAACCAAACATGCTCATGCCAAGTCATGCAGCAGAAAAAACTCTCATGCTTCTCTCTGTATGGTCAAACACCACATGGCACCAACTGGGCAAACACTACAGGTGAATTTTACCACTCGAAAGCGGGCTGCGTCGCTAGCCAGGTTAGGCTCTTCGGAACCGAAGTTCCGGAAGGTATTAACTATGCACAGAAAAGGAAAAACTCTCGAGGTGTCCTTGGCCTGCTTAACACGGCCGAACTATGTGCAGGGAACACCGAGAGAAAGCAATGAGGGCTTAACCAGTTCCGCGAGAAGCTCGGCGGCCTACGGCTACTCACTGGTTTGGCTCTATACAAAGCCCTAGGCAAATGTTCTGCAGGTTGAACTGCCTGGTCTGTACTGCCTACCCTATAAGCCCTGCCTGTACAGGGGAGAAACTCACCCACATTCGGCTCACTCAGAAAAGGCAGAAGGTCCGGAACCGACACATGGGCAATGCCTGTACAAACTGCAAACAAGTGGATGGCAAAAGTCGCCAACCTCCGGAGCAGGCCTAAGCTTTCTCGCACTTACTAACCTAGGCCCCAGAAACTCATGCCGCAGCAGCACTGAGCTCCTGTTTGCCCCGTATGCTGACCTGGTTTTCTCGCACTTACTCACCAGGGAGGAAGAACCAGCTTTCTCGCTCTTACTCACTGGTTCAACCTCAGCGGCTCCAGAGGAGCCCACACCACTTGCACGCAGGGAGGGCTTGGTTGATTTGGGCATCTCAGCTGGGCAGGCTTTCGGGCACCGAGCCACAGCCTTTAACCTCCGCAATCTGGTGCCTCAGGCTGTCCGTCAGCCTAGGTTTTGGTCCCTACCAAACAACGCCTGCCGCTAGGCTCCTCCTGGCTGGGCTTGCACCACCAGGAGAAAACAACACACCCTGCAGGGACAGACTAAGGAAATACTCAAAGGCCAAACACGGGTAACCCCAAACTGATGCAGGGCATCATGCCCTCGGCCTCAACCTGCCGGTGTACTTGGATCCTCGTCCGTTCCTCAACATCTCAGCGCGCAACCCTCCCCTCATCAACCAGTGAGGATCTACAGGGACCGGTACTGACGTTTTCCGTACGTGCGCTGCGTTTGCGAGAACCCCGTGTTGGGCCTGTAAGTACCCGCAAGCACCTGAGCCCGAAAACCCGGTCCGGCGGTCTGCTTGACAGACCGAGCAAAGGTGCCGGACCGGTGTCAGGCTGAACACAGGCCGCATCATGGCGGCCAGTCCTGCCGGGTGCTATTCCGTTGGATGGAAAGGGGGGGTGCCGGGACTGGGCACTGAACTGCTTTCGCTCTAACCTGCATCCTTATGCAATCACTGCAAGCAGTTTCGCTTTGATTTGTACATCCTTGCTTGAAAAGGGAGAGTCTCCTTTATGACAATGGATTCCGGAGGGGAGAGTCTCACCCTTGATTCTGGCAGGGCATAGCTCCAGCAATTTGGGTGGGTTGGGGCCGTATTAGGTCAGACCTCCCAGGGGATGTCTTCCAAGTCTTCAAAGCCACACACTAGCCAATCACTGCTGCATGCTTCTTCTGGGGAGTCTAGATCCAGAGAACACCCTTCCTCAGGGAAGGTCCAGCCATGTGCGCTGGCTGCAGAAGACAGCGGCGCCAGCGAAGATTCTGCGGGCTCCGTACCTTGGTGACCTAACTGACGCAAGTCGGCCAGGGAGGCATCGTCCAGAAACACCGGTCTCCTGACTGCTTGGTCAAAGCTCGGCCAGCTCCACGTGCACTCCAGGAAGTTTTCAAGACAAAGGGCACATTGGAGCTCGATGCGTCTTCCATCCTCTCCATACAAGATCGCTGGTTGCCTTTCCCCAGGACCAGGCACGAAGTTGAGGTTATGGGTTGGAATGTTACCACAGCCAGTGCAATTGAAGTTCAAAAGGCGAAGCCACTGCACGGGCGGGTCGCCTCCCGTTCCCCCGTGGAGCTCTGCTGGGTCTTCCATGCATCTCCATTGCCCACAAGGTCCGGCTCGGACTGTTTTGCCGGATTTGCTGGTGCGAACAAAATACACGCTGCTGTCCTCGGAGAGGAGCAGCCACTCTTTCCGGCCCTTGTGATGCCAGCGAAAGCAGAGTGCTTGGTGGAAAGTCCTGCTTTGGCTGGGACCACAATTGGCTCTATGGGCCCAAGTTCGCTCTACACTTGCCAGGTTGCTCGAGCTTCTTACCTGGTCTTCCAAAGCTGGAGAAACTCCACAGCCGGCTGTAAGAGGACTCGCATAAGGGAAGAGTTCCCCAAGCCGGGCTGCTTCGCCCTCCAGTCGGGCCGTGCCTTCCTAAGTTGGGTGAGAAGACTCCAACCCGTCACTTGTTGGCAGTGAGGGTCTCGACTGCACAGGTGCTCTGGACATGGCTCAAATGAAGGCTGTGAAAAAGCAGGCCTGGTACCCAAAACAGTTAGGGGACTCGAGGCTGGTTCACACAGCTACCGCTCTGCTACCTGTGCACCCCACCGGGGTTGAGCCGAGACCTTGAGCCAGGTGAATTTTACCACTCGAAAGCGGGCTGAGTCGCTAGCCAGATTAGGCTCTTCGGAACCGGAGTTCCGGTAGGTATTAAAGCCCTAGGCAAAATGTTCTGCAGGTTGAACTGCCTGGTCTGTACTGCCTACCCTATCAGCCCTGCCAGTACAGGGGAGAAACTCACCCACTTCCGGCTCACTCAGAAAAGGCAGAAGGTCTGGATCCGATACATGGGCAATGCCTGTACTAAACTGAACGCAAGTGGCTTG